AGTGTCCAGGAGAAGATGCATGGCCTGGAGGATAGGTCACTGGACTGAAAGTAAAACCTGGTTCAAATCTTCCCAGGGACACTCCATAACTGCAACCCTGGGTACTTCTGTCACTTTATATCTCTGATTCAGATAACTCATCTGAAGAATGAGAATGTTGAACTCGGGGTTTCTGAAGTTTCTTCCAGCTCTAAAATTTTGATTCTAAGATCCTAAAAATTCAAAGAAATTAGGGGAAGACTAAAATCAGGAGATTAACCTAATAAAAAATAAGTTATCAGCCATAAAAGTATTTTAGATTGCCTCTTTCTAATTTCCTCTTTCTTTGATCTCCCTGAAAAAGTTTGAAGGTCAATCTGAATGAATTTGATTCAATTCAATAAGCATTCAAAGGCACTGTGGTAAGCACTGGGAAAGATAAAAGCAAAGCTTCTTGCCTACAAGGGGTTTACATCCCATTGGGAAACACACATTACACAGATAAGTAAATACAGAATTTATACAAAGTAATTTTAAAGAGAGGATAAGGAAATGTCTTATGTAAGCAGTGGCAAGTGGGTTGGGCTTAAAAGGAACTAGGGATTCTAGGGAGCTAGAGGTATTGGTAAGGATGGAGAGCACACACGGAGAGCACAAGAGAGTGCAATAGGTATTGGAGAAGCTTGAATAAAAGCTGTGAGTTGCCAGACGCCTTGTCACATATAAAGAACAGCAAACAGACAAGTTAGGCAGTATATGTGAGGTTTAGAAATGTGAAAATCTGGAAAGATAGGCCCTAGCTACATTGTGAATAACTTTAAATTATGATGTGTTTCTATTTTTATCCTAGAAGCCAACTGGGAGCCGATTAACCTCCTTGAGCAGGGGAGTGACATGATCAGACCTATGTTTTAGAAATATCAATTTAGCAGCTATGTAGAAGATAGACTGGAAGGAAGAGAAGCAGGGATGATATTTAGGAGATTACTGCAACAGGCTAGATGAAAGGTGATGAGGGCCTGAATTAGGGTGATGGCTTCCTGAGTAGAAAAAACCAATGTGAGCGATACGGTGAATTTATGAATGAAAAAAATCCTTTATTAACAGCTTACTCTATGCCAGACACTGAACTAAGTGCTATGGAGGAAGAATCAAGATTTGTCCACTTGACTCTACTATCTCCTCAAGGGCTGGGAAAGGAAGGGAGGGGGAAAGAAAAAGTTAAGAGTTAAGTAGACTCTGAGGTTGTGAAATTGCAAAATTGGAAGAATGGTAATGCTTTTGATAGAAAAAGGGAAGTAAGGAGTAAGGGTATGGTAATGGGAAAATACAGCAAGCTTTCTTTTGAATATGTTGTATTTAAGGTACCTACGGAACATCTACCGCGGTGGGAAACCTGGGGCCTCGGGGTCACATGTGGTCCTCTAGGTCCTCAAGTGTGGCCCTTCACAAAGTTTGGATTCAATCAAAGGGCCACACTTGAGGACTTAGGTTCCCCACCCCTGAATTCTAGACAGATGCCTAGCACAAAGTTCAAAGGATCATCCAGTCAGAACTAGAAGGAACCTTAGAGGGCCCAACCCTCTCAATCTCGTGGATAAAGAAACCGAGACCCAGACAGGTTTAGGTGACTTACCTAGGGACACACAGCTATTAAAAGTCTGAGAAAACAGGACAAGGGGACTAGGGGTTTAAGAGGTAAGGGTAGTGAAAATTTGACCAGGCTCACTTATAGTGTCAAGATTGTGAAGGGAAAAAAGGTCAGAGCAGAGGATGATGGAGGGGTAGAGCAAAAAGAGGAAGAATATATTTAGAAGTGAAAAAGGAAGAAAGATGAAAGGCAGGAATTTATGGTCTTCCAAGCAAGACAGTTCTGAAACTAACATGCTGAATAGAATATATACTTAAAAAAAAAAAAGCTGTAGATAATGAGATTCATGACCTTGTAGTATACAATTCTTTTTTTTCTATTCTTATCTTTATAAGGAAATGTTTGTATTTGTTGGTATTTGTCAAGTTTAAAAGAAAACCAAAAAAAATTTTTAAATTGTGGTGAGATAAGAATTTCAGTTTTGAATAAGGGAAGCCAAATCATCATTATAGCTAATAGGAAGATCAAGGATATGATTATTTCTCTGTGTGGCACAGTAAAAGTAGAGATCATAGGATGTGAGGAGATTAATGAACTGGAAGGCCAGGGTGTTTGAGAGGCATAGCAAATAGAGTGCTGGATTCAGTCAGGAAGACCTTAGTCTCAATCTTGTCTCGAAGGCTTATTAGTTTTGTGACCCTGGTCAAGCCACTTAACCTCACTCAGCATCAGTTTCCTCATCTGTAAAATGGGGGCATTACTAACATGAAGTACACAAGGTTCTTGTGAGGATCAAATGAAATAATATGTAAACTGTTTTGCAAACCTTAAAGTACTTCAAAATGTTAGATTTTATTATTATTATTATTCCATCATCATCATTATGTCCCTAAGTATGAAGATAAGGGTTAGAGTTGTAAGCCATATTCTAAAACCCTTTTGAAAGAAGAATGACCTTGAAAATGGCGAATAATAGTAACTAGGATCCGGATAGGATGATATAGATGGAGAGAATGAATTTAAGAGAAAAAGTTACCCATCGATCCAGAGGGAGGATTTAGAAGTGGCAGTGAGGTACAAGGAATATGGTTACTCCTCCTCCTAGCCTAGTGTGTTGGGCAGAATGAGAGAAAATGCAATTGATACTAGAGAAGATAGTTAGGAATTCAGTGTCTTCTAGAGGAGCCAAATTAGTGGAGAGTGCAAGAAGATGAAAAGAAGTTAAAGAGAAGACATACAAAGGGTAGAAGTTTTTTTGTTGTTTGTTTGTTTTGCTTTTAAATAGAAGATGGGATACATGAAGATATTGGTGCTCTCTTAGCCTAAAGTGGAAGTGGGAAGTAGATAAAGATGTATAGGAAGGTGGGAGAACATCAAAGTAAGGACAGAGAGGGTCAAACAATTTCTGAGTTTGAGAATTTTTTGCAAAGAATCTACAAAGTTGAATTTAAGAATGACACCGCAGTAGATTCTCAAAGAATAATCGTATAGAATAAGAAAAATTTTAACTCTGTTTCCTTTCCTTTCTATCATTTAACACACTTGGTCATTTCACCAATTTTAATATTTCAGGGACCCATGATTTAACTAGTGTGGGTATTCCCCTTCTTATACAGATCCCATGAACTGCCAGGGCAAAAAAAAAAAAAAAAAAAGTCACGAGGTGCCCAACCCTCTGGTGATCAGTAAGGATGAATTTAAGTAAAGGAGACCTCAGATAACTGCCTAGGTCTAGCACCTAGGTCCTTCACCCAGAAGGGGCCAGACAGAGATTGAATCCCACTGACAGCCTTCAGGAATCCAGGGTCATCTCCATGCCACCATGAAGCAGCAGAACAGAACTTTAATAGAAGACAATGCATGAAGAGTTGGGGCAAGTGATGTGCAGGTCACCAAGTCAGCTCAAATGAATGTTCAGAGGCCTTGATGTTACAGAATGATGTGGAGTTCCCCAGTGTAATTTCACATTTCCCATTTTTTTACTTCCCCACCACCTACATTCTTCTTAGCCTTAAGTTTCTAGTGTAAGTGGCTCTACTACTTCTGTAGTACGCTCCTTGCACAAGTCGTTCTTCCTCCCAAAAAAGGACTATCAACAGAATAAAGTGACATAACCCCTCAGATTTTGTCTACCTCATGCAAATTAGGCTGTGCTAATCCTAGCCCAATTTCTCCCTTACAAATCTTAATTTTACTCACTGATACAAGCAATGCAAAATAAAACTGCTGGCAGCCACCTAAACCCCAGCTAACTGCAATCCTTGCAAATTCACTTCACTAACTCAGACAAACCTACGAAGGGGAGGGAGGGGGGCAGAGAATCCCTTCACTTTCCTACCCAATAATGCCTTTGAAAAGAAACTTGTAACTAACAACTAAATATCAGAAAGTTTCACACACACACAATTAACACCTGATCTACTGGCAATACTTGCTTTGTCTTTGAAACATTTCCCATTACTTATTAGACTGAGGCCAGTAGTGTTCAGGCTTAATGAATGAGTTGGCTCATCTCCACTATACACACAACTTCTGATACACACAGTCCAAAGCCTGCAGAACTCTTCTACCCTCTCTGAAGCTACAAGAAGATCACAGGTCAGTTTTGATGACTGAAAATAAAGAAGAAGGAAAAAAAAGTTTCTTCCCCTCCTTTTTTTCTTTTCCCCCTCTGAGGATGTGGATTTCTGAGATTGTGTTTAATACAGGGGACGAAGGCAGGGGCTGGGGAAGGGTCCTTTCCATTGCCCTTACAAAGGGTGCTTTCCCCTTCACCGGTTTCTGCGTGGAAAAGGACATAGCTGGCGTCCTTCTCGGAGCACAAAGAAGCAGCGAGGGATGGGTGTCTCGAGGGCTTCGCTCACGGCGCTCCTCAGCCTAGAAGGTGAGCCGGGCAGGTGTCACTCACACCGGCCCCCCGCCGGCCCCAGGACGCCCCGGGCTGCCCTGCGCTCCTCCCCAGGACGCACCCACCCCGACCCGACCCGCCTCGCCGCACCGCACTGCACCCCGGCTGGCCAAGCCCGGGAAAGGTCGAGGAGGGGAGCCTTGAATTTGAGGACGTTTCCCTCGCTTTTCTCGGGTGCCCTCCCTCCCGCCCATGTGAAGGCTCGGGAGCTGCAGCAGAGAAGAGCTAGAGCAAGTCCAGGGAGGGCGGCAGAGGCGGGAAAGCGGCACCGGGCGCGATTCCCCGTGGGGGGCCCGAGGTTATGTTCCCCGGGAAAAGACAGCGGAGGCTCGGGCGCCTCCGGGACCCGCGGCCGCGGTCCTGGGGGCACTGCCCGCGTCATTCCCCAGGGACCCCAGGTCCGACCCTGTCCTCCCCTCTCCACTGCCGACGCTCGGCAGCTCCCCCTGCCCCAGCTCGGGCCGGGCACCGCGCCTCGGACTCGGGCTGGGCCCCCAGCGCCGCTGGCTGCTGCCTACTCACCGCTGCACTCCGATGAAGGCTGGTCCCCCCAGTCCCCAGAATGCGGGTCGCAGCCTCCGCCTCCGCCGGCCCCGGGCGCCGCCTGCTGCCGATGCTGCAGCTCCTGCTTGAGCAGGGACAGCGGCGAGTAGTACTCGGTGCCCAGGGCTCCCGGGTGCAGCTCGGCGGACAGGGACCCCAGGAGCAGCAGCGCCAGGAGGCGCCCGGCAGCGCCGGCTGCGGACACAGCGCCGCCCCAGCCGCAGCAACAGCAGCCGGCAGGTGCCATCTTCCTTCAAGGCGCATGTGCGACCGGCTCCTCTCCTCGCCACTCGAGCTTCCCCGCCTTTAGCCCGCTGCCCGGGCAGGTGGGAGGCGTGGGGAGGCGGAACTAGAGAAAAGGGAACGAGCGCTGATTCCTGGGAGTTGTAGTCCAAGGCTCAGCCTGCATGGAGCCTCAGAGCAGGGAGAAGGAACTACGACTCCCGGGAGGAATTGCGCTACGTAGCCGCTCGCTCTCTACAAATTCTCCCGCCCCCTTCGTCCCCAAACCAGGAAGTCAGGGGCTAACTTGGGCTGCGGGGAAGGAGGAGGCGTAGCGGACGGTGGAGATGGGGACCAGCAGGCAGAGCGGGCCGTGGTCCGAGAAGGGAAGCGCGGGAAAAGCGGCTGAGAACAACGCCTCCTCGGCCTCGTGCTGCTACAGGTGCATCGAGTGCAACCAGGAGGCGACGGAACTGTACAGGGACTATAACCACGGGGTGCTGAAGATAACCATTTGCGTGAGTGCCCGGCTCTGCGGAGTGCTGGGGATGGGGACTGGGGAGGACAGCAGCGGGGGGGGGGCAGGGCGAGCGAGGAATTCTTTGGGAGGTGAGGCGTTGACTGGGGGTGGGGGATGGAAGAGAAGACTACCGCGTGGCTGAAATAGAGGGGAGCATTGTGGCCCAGGTAAAAAGTATGGCAAGAGGGACGCCTTTTGTGTGGTCTTGTTTGGTGGGTGGGAAGACTGGGCTTGAAGACCACTGCCCCAGGTGTAATGAGCCGTGCAGAACTGTGCCGAAGAACTACGTTTTTTATTCTGGTTCTTCTTTTTTTCTTTATTTTTTTAGAGATATCACTGCAAAGTGTCTAAAATGCCTCTAAGACCTGGATTAGAATTCCTGCTTTTGACACTTAGTAGTACGATGACCCTGGGCAACCCTCTTCACCTTTCTTGCACCTTGGTTTCCCCATCTGTACAGTGGGTGTGGGAATACCTGTAGGTACCAAACTCATTGGGTTATCGTGGGGTTCTGATGTGATTGTGTATACTGCAGGGAAATAAATTGCCCCTCCCTTTTTTCTCCTTTAATCAATCATTCAATCAGTCAATCAGTAAACATTTATTAAGCTCCTGCTGTGTGCCAGGCACTACCCTAATCGCTGAAGATATAAAAAGAGGCAAAAAGCAGTCCCTGCTCTCAATCTAATGGGGAATCGTTGAAGACTTAAAATGTATGTGTGTATATATGTGTGTGAATGTGATATGTGTGCATTTATGCTTTCCTTTTAACCATAAAAGCCTTTTTACTCTTTGAGATCGTAGGTAACCAGAGAAATTTAACTTTCAGCTCTCCATCCTTTTATACCCAAATTTTACCCTACATAGTTTCCACAAGTCTATCACCGTCTCCCAGTAGAAATATTGAGATGCTGCTGGAGTTATACAGGGTGTCCCAAAAGCCATAGCACAGTTTTAAGCTTTACTTGAAAGAAAAGATTTTGTAGAGAGAGAAGAAAAAAAAAATCTAGCACTTTTCAATTGTTACTTGCAATTAAGCTTTACTTAAAACTCCACTATGACTTTTGGGACACCTTATATAAACTGTGACCTGGTAATGAAGTATTCTTTGAAACTTGGAGGTTCTTTTTGTGACATTTCGCCTCTTCCATTAAGTAGGCATATAATACACAAGTTATGCAAACAACTCTGTAGTTCTTGGGAAAACAATATGTCCTTGCTCTCAAAAAGCTTGATAGAATTTTTGTCTTTTTTTTGTTTTGTTTTGTTTTGTTTATGGTCTGGGCCTGTGACTTCATTGGTTTAGCCAGCTCCCAGTGAGGAAACTCTTTACCAAGACAGATAAGTTATTAGGCAATTTACAGCATTGGAGAGTTGCCTAGTTAAGTGCCTTGCCAAGGGTGTGATGCATACAATCAATATGTGTCAGTGGGGCAATTTGAACCTCAGTGGTTCTGACTCTCAGGCTGGCCCCCTGTATCCAGTATACCAGATTATATACAAGTGAGGCTATAGTAAGTGCATAATTGAGTGTTAAGGAGGGAGGAATTAGAGCTAGATGGGGCAAGTGTCTGAGTTGAGTCCACATCTGGACTTACATTTGGTCCCCCAGACAACCTCTCTCTTTATTTAAGAGAGAAAATTGAGGTGAAAGTAGCCTCTTAAAATTCATATAAGCAGGTTTTCAACTCCTCTAATTTTTTGCCATTCTGATTTTTTAGAGTAGGGATCATTTCATTTTATATATCATTAATTCCCAGCATAGTGCCTACCACATAATGGACATTGTTGCTTGTTGGTTGATTCAGTAGGGGAAGAAATAATGTAGATAAATTCTTTTCCTAACTGAGTGAGTTCAACTGGCTTAATTAAATAGTTTATCTGAAAAATGAGCACAGGCAGAAAAGACTTTGTAGGGGAAAAAAAAACCCTAGTACATTTCATTTGTTATTTGTAATTAATTACTAATAATGTTAGAACCTGTGCTTATAGATCTTTGACATTATACTTGTGACATCAAAAATCTTTTTACATCCTTCAGAAACTTTTTTCTGCTAACTTTGAACTCTGCAGAGAGCACACTTTTAAGCAGTTTGTAATGTAATCAATCCTATCCAGTATATTATGGGTCTAATTTTTGTATAGGGTTATTTCCCCATGAGGTGGAGCATATAATGAACTCATTTTAGCATGCTAATGCAAACAGTGTAGCCAAAGTTAAGGCCTTTTGGAGGTGTTCCAGTATCTATTGTCTTATATCTCTCCTCCCCTTCTTGATTGACTAAACTCCTTGAGAAAGCCACCAAAGATTAATGCTTCCACTTACCTCTTCCCTCACTTACTTCAAAACCCTGGGCAGCCTGGCTTCCAACCTTGTCATTCAGCTGAAATGCTCTCTTCAAAATTACCAATAACCTCTTAATTGCTAAATGTAATAGCCTTTTCTTAATCCTCATTAGTCTTGATTTCTCTGTATCCTTTGACACTAGCAATCACCCTTATTTCCTGCATGCTCTCTCCTGGTTTTTGTGACGCTTCCTTCCTATTTCTTCTCCTACCTGTCTGACCATTCTTTCACTGGACTTTGATCTAGGTCACAGCCATTACTCAGGGGTATTTCCTTAGGATCTTTCTTGTGCCCTCTATCTATACCAAAAGTTCTCAGAGTATGGTCCGAAGACCCCTGGGGGGCCCTAAGATGTTTCAGAGGGTCTTTGAGGTCAGAACTATTTTCATAATAATATTAAGACACTTACATGTATAATATGGTAAACATACGACTATCTAACAATAATTTATATATGTTTGTGTGCATGTATATGTGCATACACACACACACACACACACACACACACACACACACGGCAGCTTTGGGAAGAGTTCACAATAATTTTTAAGAGTGTGAAAGGCTTCTAAGACCTGAAAATTTGAGAACTGCGTTTCTATGCTATCAAAAATAATCAAATGAGATAACACATATAGCACTTTGCAAAACTTAAAGCATTATATAATACTAGTTATTATTATCTCACTTGGTGATTTCGTCAGCCTCCATGGATTCAGTAATCATCTTAGTGCAGATGATTCCCATGTTTGTATATCCTGACTTCATCTCGCCTAAGTTCATCTCCCCTCACCAGCCGCCTCTTGGACTTCTCAAAACCGTATGTCCCTTTGACATCTCACACTCAATGTGTTCAAAACAAAACTCACTGTCTTTCCTGGAAAGTGCTTTGCTCTTTTGAAGTCTCTATTACTATCCAAGACACCACGATCCTCCCAGTTACTCAGGCTTACAATCTCAGGGTCATCTTCAACTCCCCACCTGCTCTTATCCTGCCTATCTAATCCATTGCCAAGTCTTGTCATTTCTACCTTCACAACATCTTTCTTTTATGTCCCCTTCTTTCCACTCACACAGTCACCACCCTGACACAGGCTGTTATCCCCTGTCTCCTGGACTAATACAATAGCATTCTGGTTGGTCTCTGCCTCAAGTGTTTTACCACATTAATCTATCCCTCCATTCAGCTGTCAAAGTAATTTCTTTACTCAAACAATTCTAGTGGCTCCCTATTAGCTCCAGGGAAAAAAAAAATAAAATTCCATTTGGCTTTTAAAGCCCTTAGCAATCTGGCCCCTTCCTACCTTTCCAGTCTTCTTACACTTTACTCTCCTCCACATACTCTTCAGTCTCCTGGCACTGACTTTTTTGCTGCTTCTCAGACATTGCATGTCATTTTACTGGTGGGCCCTCATGCCTAAAATGCTCTTCTTTTGTCTCTGCCTCCTAGCTTCCCTGACTTCCTTGAAGATTCAGTTCAAATTCTAAGCCACCACAGGACTGGTCTCCTTCCTCCCTTCCCCCACTTGCCAAGTGTCTTCCCTGTGAGATTCTCTTGCACTTCCTTTGTATGTACCAAGTATGTAAAATTTTTGCATGTTGAATGTGAGTTCCTTGAGGGCAGGGACCATATTTTTGCCTTTCTTTGTATCCTCATTATTTAGCACAGTTCTTGACATATAAGCACTAATGCTTCTTGACTGACTATTGACTAATATTCACTATCCAGGGGAAATACTATTGCTTAGGAAACACGTTTTGCTTACATTAAACTAGTGTATAAAGAATACCTGGCCAATTAGATTTATTTAAATTCTGACATGGAAGCCTGAAATGCTTTTAGTTATCTTACTTCCCACAAAGTGCTTGTTAAATTGGAGTGGGCAGGGGTGGGGGAGTCAATGGAACTCATGCTTTAGAATGAAGCTGGTCTAAGTAAAATAGGGTCAGAAGCAGCCTAGTAATTACAGCAAATAAGTGGTACATATAAGCCCCACCTTTTAGCTTCTTTCCCATAGTCTTTCTACCAGCTTTATTTCATTTCCTCCTTACCACCTCTTGCTTATCCACATCACCTCTCAGTATACTCATCTTGTCTCTCTTGGCTAAGAAGCCTGGCTGCTGCCGCACCAGCTTATCTTTTTACGTGTTTTCCTGATTT